ACAAGAAGGATAATTTTCTGATTTTGTCTTCTCATTTTTGTATTGAGTTTTTTTATGTAATCATTTCAGATTGAAACATGCATCCAACTTTTTTAGTTCTAATAATATTTAACTGGAAACGTTCTTTTATTAATATTCTTGATAACCTTAAGATTTTCATACTTGTGTATAAACAATGTCAGCTTTTCACTCCTCGTTGCATTACATGTGAGTAGGATCATTATACGATCTTTTGATTGTTTCTTTCTTGATGTTTGTTCGTTAAATATCATTTGACATAGTTTCATCTTCTAAAATAGTTCTGTTTTATCACAATTAAATATATCTTCAAGACTATATTCTTTTAATATTTGCCAGAGATTCTCTCTCATTGTTTTAAGATCTTTGAGCGACGCATTTGCAGCTTCCCATATATATTGTACTATTTAAAGTTGTGTCATTTTTTAAAGTTATCCACTCAACCACTAAATCTTTTAAATTTATCCTCTTTTAATAAAAAATCAAAACTCAAGGCTTTTGTTAAAAGAATATCATCAGTAATAATGAGGCTAGCTTTAAGTATGTTATCTACCCATATTACTAACGCTTCTTTAATGAAAGGGAATGAAAATTTCTTATTAGGCTTAGTATGAATTGATATTTACAGAAAGTCAACAGTCTTTCTCCTTTAAAATGTCACATATCATGCCTTCACTAACATCATATTCATTAGCTAAGTCTTTTTGTTTTAAAAAGGGTGATGATATTTTTTTCAAATAAAGTTCTTTTTTTTGTGCAGCTGTAAGAGACTTTCATTATTTTTTAAGATTTATTTTGTTTATTAGTAGATTAATTAAGTTATTTCTTTGAGTTTACTTTTAGCATTATTGGCATTATGCAAAGAAAAAAAACATGTAAAAAATAAAATATATAAAAAAAATATGAAACACAAGATATAATGCGTAATGAAAATATTTATTCATTTTTTAATTTTATTTAAAAACTAGGTACAAAGAACTACAAAATTTTATATACATAAATCTAGTAAAATTCATTTTAAGCAAAACTTCGTTATATCAAAAAAAAATTTGTTATAGAGAAAATTCGTTATAAAAAGAGTCATTTTATATATAAATTTTTTTGACTTTAATTCGTTAAACGTAATACAAATTTTTAATTACTAAATTCAGTATAGTAAGGGTTATTTTATATTTAAAAATCTGTCTAACACTGAAAATCCATTGTATTGTAAAATTCATTATATCAAAATTCGTTGTAGAAAGAGTTGACTTTAAAGTTTTATATATATACTATTCAAATTTTCTAGAAAAGTTATCAATTTAATAATTAAAGATGATATATATAAAAAATTTGATAAGTTTTTAAAAGAGTTTATTACAAATAAGTTAAATCAAAAATAGAATTATTTGAATATAGAAATTCTATAGATATAAAAACTAATAATTCTATAGTTATAAGACATAAAGAAAAGCCTTTAAAAAGATATAAATTTAGTATTAAAATAGTTTATTTCAAAATGTTATATAGATGAATTAATACAACCAATAATAATGAAAGTAATTAAGTAATTATAAATACAAATACTGTATTATTCTAAAAATAAGCAACCAGTGATATGCTTTTTTATGATACTTTTTTATTTGTTATGCATATTTTATTATATTATTTGTCACATATATAATAATAAATATTTATTTGTTATTTTTAGAACAATATAGTAATTAAAAATGTAGCAAATAGATCATTATGTTAAAAATGTTTAAATTAATTTAGATTTAAATACAATGACTATTATATAATAAATAAATATTAAAATATTAAAAAAATTATATTATTATCATGTGATCATGAATAAAGTTTAAACATTTTTGTCAAATTTAAAAAGTTTAAACAAAGTAATTTTATTAAATATAATTTTTTTGAAAAATAAATAATACTAATTATATAAAAATTTGCTTATTATATTTTCACTTTATTTAATTATTATTATTATTATATTATATATAAATTTTTATTTTAAATTAAAAAAGTAATTTTTTTTTCTTGATTTATTTATTGATTACATAATAAATGTAATGTGTATAATGCAAATAAAATAATATGTAAATTGTATATCTAAATCCAACCTTTTTAAGAAAATTTATTACTAATATTTTTTTATTGTAACTATTAACATTTAGATTTTTTTTTAAAAATAACTTAATTATTATTAAATCTAATCACGTCATTTTAATTAAACAAAGTCTTTTGAATTGTGCGTATTGTAATAAATATTTATTTGACTTACCTGAATTTCGTCTAAATATTATCCCATACTATTATCATGATTCATCATACTTGGTAAACCTAATGTATTTCCTGCAATGGTATTACTTCCATAACTATTACTACCAATAGCATTAATTCCAATATTGTTATTTCCTAGACTATTGGATAAACTATTCCCACCACTTAATACAGTGCTAGACAATGAATTTCCAGTCATTGAACCATTTCCCATTCCATTTCCACCGGTACTTGGGTATCGCATCATGCTAAAAGTATTTGCGGGACCAAATCCAGTACCACTTATTCCTGCACCAGTACCTCCGAATCCAGCAAATCCAACATTTTGTAACTGTTGAAGCTGCTGCTGTTGTTGAGCTGTTGGCATTCCGTATTGATCTCCCAGTCCAGCAATAGAAGGTAGTATTCCTGATCCCTGTGCATTTCCATTACCTCCGTTCCCGACACCCGTATTTCCAATTGATATGTTTCCCAAAGGTGGTAACGACACCGGATATGATTGTTCTGGATTTGTTGCATTCATCATCGAATAATCAGAAATATTACTTGTTGCCACCATGTTCTGATGTTGAGAATTGGTGTGTTGTTGTTGTTGATATGCTGTAGCGATAGTCACAGTTGGTATCATTGAATTTGTGAACCGATTTGAAGATTGTAGAGAATTCTGCTGTTGCTGTTGATGCAATTGTTGTGATGTTTGTTGTTGGAGTAGCTGTGTCTGAGTTTGTTGAGGTTGCGAAGATGATTTTTGCTGTTGCTGATGAGTTTGTTGCGGAGTATGTGGTTGTTGAGGCGGTGGTATTAGCTGCTGTTGCTGATGTTGATGTTGATGTTGATGATGTTGTTGTTGTTGTTGTTGTTGCTGTTGTTGTTGCTGCTGCTGCTGTTGTTGTTGTTGTTGTTGATGATGTTGTTGTTGTTGTTGTTGTTGTTGTTGTTGTTGTTGTTGTTGTTGTTGTTGTTGTTGTTGTTGTTGTTGTTGCTGCTGCTGCTGCTGCTGCTGCTGTTGTTGTTGTTGTTGCTGCTGTTGTTGTTGTTGCTGTTGCTTTTGGTATAATTGATATTGTGGAGAATTCATCATGACTCCAATAATGCTATTTGGAGATGAGCTCACTTTGAGTTGGCGTGGAGATGGCGAACTTGGATCCAACATTTGACTAGACGATAAAGTACTAGAAATATTGTTAATGTTAGAAACATTGTTGTTAACGGTGGAAGAATTTGCAGGTATTGCTCTATGATATTTTTTATTTTGAGCGAAAATCTGAACAGCTCGCTGAAGAAGGGTATTTATCTTTTGTCCATAGCTACTACGAGGTATTGGTAAAGTGGATAAATCAGGGATCACCTTTTGCTTTATTTCCTATAAAACCACCAAATCATATTAAGTTATAAACCTTAAATAACTAGATCATATACTTTATGTTAATTACATTACGAGGGTTTCCATTATACTCATCTGCAACAGTTGCTAAGTATGATAAATTGCCTTGAAGACGTGATTTGTACCTTTTTTTTGAAGTCTTAAATTAATTATATTTTAATAAAAAAATTATATAATAAAAATGTCCAAAGGGTTACATACAATGCAAGATCTTGGTCATTAACCGATCCATTACTTTGATAATCAATACATACACGAATCAATTCGTAATTTATCTCAAGTATCTGAAATCAAAAATCGTTAGAAACAAAATAATTATGATTTCTTAGAATGTTAATGAATCAGTTAATCTTACCACTTGCACACATTTTTGGGTATAGTCGACTAATATGGCGAATTTAGAGATTTTGAGGAAAAATAAAACAAAAATAATATTAAAAAAAAAGAAAGGTAATAATGGTAAAAAAACTTTGAAATTGTAAAATTTATAATCACCATATTCCGGAGATCTATTGTTATTTGATCCAATCATGATTCCTCCAATTGTTGTAACAGGCGTGTCTGCATTCGTAATTGCGCTACTTTCCTGCTTAACGGTATTCGGTTTCCTGACGTTTGAACCGACAACCGGTGCTTGTACAAAGTTATTATTTGTTTCAGAGTTTGATGCATGATAAAGAGGTTTGGATGGAGTTGTGACAACATTAGAAGCATTCAAAGTCGTCGGTGGTGCGATCGTAGCTCCTGAAATCATTGTGTGATTGAGAGCAAGTTGCTGATCGGAACCCATCCAGGGGAGAGTAGAGTGGTGTTGTTGCGTTTCATAACTAATATTCATTTGCTGTGAAACAGCTTCCGTGAAGGGACTATTTCCATTCGTTTGAAGGTACTGAGAAGTATATTCACCATTCATGTTTTTTTTGATAATTTATTTTTGATAATATTTTTTTTTTTTTAAAAAAAAAACTTGGTTTATATATTTAGATATTATCCAATCATTATTAGTCTCGTACTACAATCGTACGTTCAACAAACGCAACAAAACAATAACATTCAAAATATTTCCTTTTCTTTTAAAAAAAAAAAGAAAATGTACCAAGATCTTTCGAACGAGGAACTTTTTGGTTTTAGTGACCATTCAGATACCGATAATAAGGTAGAAGAGCTAAGCAACGATTTATCTTCTAATGAAATGTCCGAACCACAAAGTTCAGAATACGAAGTTTCACCCTCGAGTCCATTAACAGAAAATGAACCAATTATCATTTCTCCAAAACCCAAATTAGTAACCATTCCTTCAATCATAGGATTAATCCTTTATGAAAACCTTTTAACTCACGAGCAACAAAATGAGTTAATTAATGGTATTATAGAAGCTAATTATTTCAACAGCCCAGAATCAAATCAAGCAATGTGTTTTGGTACACTGCCATCATTCATTCTTCGGGCCGTTGAAGTAATTTCTAATACACCTGGACTTTTTCCTGACGAAATTCAGCATAGGGATCCTTTATTTGATCAGGCGCGTGCTAAATTAATTTTCAATTATTAAGGAAATTGTTTAAATAATTCATGCCAAATTTTTAATTAACTTTACTTATTGTAAAATACAGTCGATTATCAACTTATACAGACCTGGGGAAGGTATTACAGGTCATGTGGATTTACCTAGGTAAAAAAATCATTTATCATCATTATTAAATAATATACATGGATTATTAATTCTTTATATATAGATTTGAAGATGGGATTGTAGTAATATCATTATTATCATCTTGTGTCATGCGATTCAGGCCTTTATCTGAAGGTGAAATGGACAACACTAGTTATGAGAGCAAGTTGAAGGATGTTCATGGTGTTTATGAGATGATACCAGTTATTCTTAGACCAGGATCTGTTCTTTCTCTGAATGGACCGGCTAGATATAATTGGGCTCATGAAATTGAGGAGACTGAAATTGATGAGATTGGAGATGAAAAAATTATTCGTAGCCCTAGAATATCCGTGACTTTAAGAAAAATGAAAAATGATCAATTATTTTCAAATAAAGAAGATTCAAATCCTTTTTCTTTCGAGATTAAAAAACGTTGAACATTAAAGTTTTACATGAACTTAAAATTATTTGTATAAATATCAATGATTTTATATTAAAACTTTGGTAATTATTTATTCTAAAAGCAAAATTTCTAAATTGAAAATTATTTGTATCAATTTAAAGCATGAAAAATAATTTCTAATTTACAAGATGTATTAGAAAGTTGTCGATATAAAAAAAAAAATAGCAAAAATAAAATAACTAAAATTGATCTTTCCAGTTAATTTCAATCGACTAGCATATTTACTCGGGTATTTTATAAGGGTATAAGTTTTAATTCGTTTTTTTGAGCTTTCAATTTCTTAATTTAAAGAAATTTAATTTTTATGTAGATGATGCTAATTTTAAAGTTAGTGTAAAATTTTTTTAAAAAAAAAAAGAAAAAATTTCTCTTTATTAAAGATAGGGTAAACCTACCAAAGATTATATCTTTATGACAAATCTTCAACAATAGAGGCACCTTTCACACGTCCAAATGCTTTAATCATTTCAATTATATTTGAAATAGTTGGATCCATATTTGGAACAACAACAATGGTTTCCAACGTCACTATAAACGTCGATATTTGTGGTTGATACTGAATATAATAAATTAAATATTTAGTATACTAATTTAAAAACAACAAGAATTATAGAGAGATAACTATCTTACAGTTCGTCCAATTTCTTTGAAAAATCCATACGCCCACCAGAACCAGAGCTTAGACATGGGATCTTGAACTCCTTGTTCTTTATATTCTTTCAATTTATTATTAAGCATCTCAACAAATAAATTAACCAAGGTCAACAAAACTTCTTTTTGTTCCCTAGTAACGTTATTCAGCGTATTTTCAATATTTCGCAATTCGTCAGCGTTAACTTTTTTATCCACTACAAAACAAAAAAATTTAATAAAGTAATAAAAGTAATAATCAAAAAAAAAAACGCCATTATAAATGATATAAATAATTACAATCACTCGTGATATCAATGATGCCAGAATCTGCTGGTGGATTCATCAAACTTTCAAGTTTGTATTGAACTTGCTTGACTCGTGATATAACTTTATTTATAGTATTCTTCATAATTTCCCACATATACGACCTAGGAATATTATTAGTTTTAAAAAAAAAGAATTACATTTCAGATTCATTTATCTTATTCTCACTCACTTGGAAACTTCTTTTTCCATCTCGTCCGTAAATAACCAAGTTATTATAGAACTGGCGTCAATGACTCGGTAATTTAATAATTTATCAAGAAGAATACCCAAAAACTTTTTATAAACAAAATTGAGTTATTACGATTAGATAACTTTTAACATATATATATATATACATTCAACTGAATAATACCTGAGTGTTGTTCTTCCAAAATTCCGCAACAATTTTAACTGTATGTACTTTATTTTCTGCCGTCTCATTTAAGGATTGAAGAATCGATAAATATCTATTTCAATTTAATATATAATTGAATTATATTGAATTTTTTTAATTCTCAATTCAAAAATATTGAATAATTTACCTCTCAATAACATTAAGCACGTGACTGAAGCTCTTACATCCTTGCATAAGCACGCATTGAATAAATATATCACGCATAGTTTGCTCTTTATCCTCTGCAGACAATTCCGGTGATAACATCTCTTTAAAATATGTTTGTACGTCTTCAGTAGAAGCCCTCTTACGAATTTTCCCTAATAAAGTCTCGGCCAAACTATGTAAAGGATGGGCTATAAAACAAGAATTTTGTTTAAAAAATTTTTTTTTTTTGGGAAAAAAAGGTAGATTTGAAACTTTTTAATACCTGAGTCTTCATATTTAAAATTAGTGGATGGTTCTATTGGAAAGATCGCTGAAAATTCATCTGGAATAGTAGATTTAATCCTTTCATAATAACTATAGCGTACCATCTTTTGGAACGTTTCTCGTAAGAAACATACTTTTGGGTGTAATGGATCTAATTTTAAAGCATTCTCCCTGAACAAAAAAAAATAAGCTTATTTAAATTCATATAAAATATTATTAATAAAAATAACATTATT